GCCTTCTACCAGTTGAAGTGTTACCGAGAGCTTTTGTGGTGCTTATAGCACCGTGTACGAGAGGCAGGATCTGTGAGGTGGTGGTGTGTAGTATTACCTGACAGTACTTCTTGCCGAGGTGGGCTGGGGGTCGAGGTGGGCTGGGGGTCGAGGTGGGCTGGGGGTCGAGGTGGGCTGGGGGTCGAGGTGGGCTGGGGCCGAGGTGGGCTGGGGCCGAGGTGGGCTGGGGTCGCCCACCCTCGACTCTGGCAAACCTCCGCCCGCCAGCCCAACTCTCCAACTTTCCACAGCGAAATGTCTTGGTGTTATGCTGTAATCCCCATTAACTAGTCTCTCACTATCTCTCTCGTATGAAGAGAGAGAATTGCATATGGTCTATTCTATTGGTTCATGCGAGCTTTGTGGAATTTGCGCGCAACCAAACGCGTGTCTAACCTTAGCTTGACAGCTTGAACTGGTTCAGCGTTCCCGCGTCCCCTGCTTTATCAGGTAATTTGTTCCATTTTCAAAACCAAAGAAACAGTTTCCCAGGTTTTTTCTCTATCTAGACTTGTTAAATTTATATCCATTGTTTTTCATTCTATTGTGTTGTATTTAACAGCTTAGCATGATGTCTGTGGTCTCATTCATCCCTTTCTATACTTTATTATATCACCTCTTATTCTTCACTTTTCTAAACAAAAAAAATGGAATTTAAGCTTTCTTAATCTTGCTTCAAAGCCAGTGAAACTGTCGCCCCCCCCCCCCTCCTTCTTGAATATTGGAACGACGTTGGCAACCCTCCAGGCTGCAGGACTATTTCTCCGTTGATGGATTTGTTGGGCATACTTAGTAGTGGCAACGATTAGCCTAACACACCTCTTGGCTCCAACAATGGGATGATACCAGATGGAAATGGTTGTTGCGTGAGTGGTGTACCACTCTCGCTACCACTGTGTGGTCTTGAGCTTGATCTGTGGTGTCGGTGAAGTAACTGAAGAACAATGATGTGTTGACCATGGTGGCAATAAAAGCTTCACTATTATGTTCCTGCTTATCGTTGGTTGTTCTCTCAAGTCTTGTATTGTCTACTTTAAAAGTGACGATGGGGTTTACCTGCAGTGTTTTCCCAGAGGTCTTCTAGTCCCCAAGCCTGGCTTGGGGCCAGGCTTGTCTTGTGAGGGCTTAACATCCAAAAGACTGGTGCTTGAAGCGGCCCGCAAGAAGGTCTCCCGACAGCATTAGATTATACGATCATCTTACGTTAGAATTGTTGAGATGAGAGTATTTACTTCAAGAGCCGGAAGGACCACTACAGAGAGCAGGCCTGCCAATACCACTTTACTATCCACAAGGCTAGATGGGGAATTTTCTCAAAGCCAAATAACCCCGTTTGCCTGCTGTATTAAGCCTCGGGGACATGACCTAAAGCTGGATAGAACAGCGTGATGAAGTAGTGGTTGGTGTATCCAGGTGTCTACCTGGCCTTACCATCCTTGCGCACATGTGTGCAGGTATATATTTAACACTGCAGTAAGAGTGAAATATTGTAGTAGCAGACAGCTTGATCGGCACCAGATGGCTGCGTTCGTTCCTAGCGGTGAGGCCCAATTGTCTGCTGCTGCTGCTGCTGCTGCTGCTGTTGCCAGAGCACACTTTTGATGTGGCTGAGGTTGAAGTACTGTGGCCTGAAAGGGTAGCACTTATTCTTCAGGCGTGGTCAAGGACCTGGTAGTGGGGGTGAGGTGCGGACTTGCGCTCAACTGATCCAGGGAGGAGAGGAGGGAAGTGCCTGGGAGATGGGGCACCGTGGGGGGAGGTCAGGGGAGAGGTGGGACGCTGGCGCCACTCAAGTCATTGAGATAATCAAGACAATCAGTAGTCCCCCATGGGAGGAGAGGGCGGTGCTGGTAGAGGGGGAGGGAAGGGTCGGTAGGGAGCAGCGGGGAGACGTGCAAGTTTTTAGTTTTTTTCTTTAAAATATGTTGTTTATACATAGAACTAGATGGGGTATTCCGGGGGTGGCTGGATCTTGGCCTCCCTTCCACCTTTTCCCTATTCTCTTTTCCCTTACCCACTTCTTCCTGCAATATCAACCAACTCCCTTCTCGTTTAGAATGGTTTCGTGAATGGTGGTGGCGAACGATTGCCATTTTTAGTAAGAGTCCAAGAGATGAGGAGACCGAGGCAAGGTACTGAAGTACTCCATTAACGTGACCCAGTGACCGGTCCCCAGTCAGTCTCCATATCACCATCCGTTCTTAGTTTGGGGGCGCCAGTGGGCGGCCGCCCGCTTAACTCTCATCTTAATATCCTCCCGCTTAACTCTCATATTAATATTTGTAAACACGATTACTGACATCTAACTTAAACCTTAGTTTGTCACAAGGGGAAGATGCGAGTTGTGATGGCGTGTACTGTATTAATATAATACAATAATAGTGGCTTTAGGCATTGTATGTACTAGCTCTATCTATAAATCCATCAACTCCTGTATTTCACCTTGTATGTATGTACTTTACCTGAATAAATATTTGTATTTGTATATGAGGATGATGACTGGATTGTGTGTGCGTCATCGACAAAGGTCAGGAGCAGGGAGTAGAACCCCTTGGGAGGCAAGAAAGTGTGAAGCAGCATATCCTTCCGTTTGTGCAGGTGTGTGCGGAGAAAGTGTGCGAGTCGCCGAGAGTTCCCGCCATATGTCGTCGTGGTCACCCTCCTGCCAACACTCTTGAAAAGAAAGTGCCTCGCTGCTTGACTCGCTCGCCGGTGTGGTTCTGCATGGAGTGCTCGTGTTAGGCGAGTGTTTTGCTGGCCTCTACCGCCCCCAAGGTGACACCCTCAGGGTGTACCTCACCCTCTACCTCCCTTCCCCCCCTCTTCCACCCCCCATCTCCACCCCCCCAAGAGAAGAGAAGAGAAGGACACTTTCGGTTTAATTAAGAGAGACATGGAGGGAGCCGGTCGCCGAGCGGACAGCACACTGGACTTGTGATCCTGTGGTCCTGGGTTCGATCCCAGGCACCAGCGAGAAGCAATGGGCAAAGTTTCTTTCACCCTATGCCCCTGTTACCTAGCAGTAAAATAGGTACCTGGGTGTTAGTCAGCTGTCACGGGCTGCTTCCTGGGGGTGGAGGCCTGGTCGAGGACTGGGCCGCGGGGACACTAAAGCCCCGAAATCATCTCAAGATAACCTCAAGATAACATAGTTTGTCTAGTTAAAGTCAGCGCTCTTCCTGTGTTATTGACGGGAGCGTCACTCACGCTCTTCCTGCATTATTGACGGGAGCGTCACCCACGCTCTTCCTGCGTTATTGGCGGGAGCGTCACCCACGCTCTTCCTGCGTTATTGGCGGGAGCGTCACTCACGCTCTTCCTGCGTTATTGACGGGAGCGTCACTCACGCTCTTCCTGCGTTATTGACGGGAGCGTCACTCACGCTCTTCCTGCGTTATTGACGGGAGCATCACTCACGCTCTTCCTGCGTTATTGACGGGAGCGTCACTCACGCTCTTCCTGCATTATTGACGGGAGCGTCACTCACGCTCTTCCTGCGTTATTGACGGAAGCGTCACTCACACTCTTCCTGCGTTATTGACGGGAGCGTCACTCACGCTCTTCCTGCGTTATTGACGGGAGCATCACTCACGCTCTTCCTGCATTATTGACGGGAGCGTCACTCACGCTCTTCCTGCGTTATTGACGGGAGCGTCACTCACGCTCTTCCTGCGTTATTGACGGGAGCGTCACTCACGCTCTTCCTGCGTTATTTGTTATCCATCCTGTAGGTGGATGTATAATAAATGAATATCCATACCCCTCCTGTGGATGGTGGTGGAAAAAGTTAAGAGGTACATAATGGGCACAGGAACTGAACACCAAAAATTCATTTGACTAGACAAGAAACAAAAACTTAATGAAAATAGTGTACTACTATTAATCTACTAGTATATATATAATTTACTAGTAAAAATAGTTTTATTAAGCAGAGTGCCAAAAGATAAATTTGGGGACAACCTTGATTATAATCTACTTCAATGGCATTAAATCTAGTATTACATCCATGGTTTTGGCAACAATATTTTATCCACATCGGATTTAGTAATGCAAAGATTTATTCATAGGATAAAAGGGAAGAGGACATTACATTGATGCAAAATGCCCTACAAAAGCTTCACAAATGGTCAAGACTGATAAAATAATATTTAGTAGCTTTAATTAAATGCAAGGCACTGCATGTGGGACACAGCAAGCATTAGGTTTACGGTGTTGAAAATAGTCTCGACTGATTGAAAGCGAACATTGCCTTGGTGTGACGGGGACGCCAGTGGCTGTGTGGACAGCACGCTGGACACATAATCCTGTGTCCTGGGTTCGATTCCCGACGCCGGCGAGAAACAAAAATGGGCAGTTTTTCACCCTGATGCCCCTGTTACCTAGTAGTAAATAGGTACCTGGGAGTTCGACAGCTGTTATAGGCTGCTTCCTTAGGGGGGGGGAGAAAATTAGTAGTTAGTAACAGTAGATTGATGGACAGTTGAGAGGCAGGCCGAAAGAGCAGAGCTCAAGCCCCGCAAGCACAAATAGGTGAATACATTGCCTTGGTACGGACAGTACGTTAATTGTTGGAAGCAGCACTACAAATTAAAACAAACGTGTGAAAAATTGCAACCATTTGACAAATAATCAAACATACCTTTATACATAAGGACAAGAAAATGGCTGTTCAACTTTACAAATACAATACCTTGCAAATCTTCGTCCTGCACCTGCATTTTTCCTTCCACGGACACTACAGAAGGCCATCAGGGGATTTTTTGAACAGTTTCAATGGCATATGTAACTTGTAGGCTACTTTTATCATTTTATACCAAATGCCCTGACCACTGACTTCTATCTTACTTCTTCTATCTCTTACTAATTTACAATTACAGTACAGTAAGTATTATATATTCTGTAATGCTATTATTTGTCTGATACATGCTGATATAATATCTAGTGTTCTGCCATCTCCACAGATTGGTGACCACATAGAGAAGATTGATGGGAAAAAGTTGGTGGGTCACCGCCACTATGAAGTTGCCAAGATGCTGAAAGAAATTCCTCGGGGTACCACTTTTGTCATGCGTTTAGTTGAACCTCTTAAGGCTGGCTTTGGTAAGAACTTTTACTTGTGCTTAATTTAGTCTTTCGATAAAGTTTAATATTGATGAAAGTATTTTTATTGTCTTACTACTGACAGAATCTAAGAAGTAGGGCAGATCATTGAGGATTATATAATTTAAATTTCATAAAGTTTTTACTCATGTGCTTTATGATCCTTGTTTATTTACAAGTGTTGTCCCATTACACTTTAATCATCCTATATTACCCTATGTTCAGTTATGTTCCAAGAAAATGTTGTGAGAGCATCCAGTTTCTTTTCTAAATTACACCTTGTATTTCCATTCTGATTTTAATGTAAATAAACTACTGCACTATTGCTAGAACTGACTCCATAGTGAAATATTCTATGCCTGACATCCTTAAGTATTACCTTTTTTGTATTCATTCATTTTCCTAGAATGTTCTCATTTTCTTAGCTTACTTCTTTTTTTAATATTGTTTTACCCTTCCTCACAAATTAAGTTAAATTTTGTTTTGTGTATTATTTTAAGTTTTGCCGAAACACTTTACGTAATAGTGGCTTCATTAGCATGTGTAACTCCTGTCCCCACAATTTTATAATAATAATAATTCATTGTGTTAGGGGACAGGACGTCAGACTGTAGTCATACACATTAGGCTTATATCGAGTTCCCCCCCAAGATCGAATTACTGACCCCACCTAGGATGCAACCCCACAACAAGCTGACTAACTCCTGGGTACTTACCGATAGGAAATGCGCCCAACCATTTCTATCCCGCACGGGATTCAGACCCGGAATTCTTGATTGCGAGTCAAGAACGAACCCCAACTGTGTTACCGGGACCTTTAAATTGTACATTACATACTCTTATATTCCTTGTGCACACATTATTTTGCATAAACATTATTATTATATTGTGTTTTCAACCTTCTTAAATTCACTGATTCATATCAGTGAATCATAACGTAAGTCACACAGAACAGGAACAGTGGGTTCCTGATCTGTGTGATGGATGTGTTCATGGAAAACCTTGTGTAAAGTGAAGGTAAATATATATATATAGCATGGTTAAAATTTTGATATTTTCCAAATGTTTTACTTTCTGCTCTTACTAAAACATATACCTTGATATACTGTATATACCATGATGCAAGAAACAATACAAAATTAAGCTTTGAATATACTGTATTGAAAAGCTCCTGTTTGAGTAACCCATTCAGTTGCTTCCTTAGGGTACGTCTGACTCTCCCAAGGCCAAGACCATACAACAAGGAGCTTTTGGTCTATACTTGAACCCTTATGTCTGACCATAACCACTTGGTTGCTCCCATAAACAAGAATAACCATAAAAAACTCATTATGGAAAAGTGTAATGTACAATTACCTTTACTGTAGTGGAGCCAGAATCTGAGAAATTTGCTTCCGGTACTAAGCAAGATGCTAAGCTTCAAATGCACAGATGTTACCATCAGGAGGAAAGATCACTAGGAACACGGATGAATATACACACTGGGAATTCCTAGAGAAGTAATAGGGCAGAAATGTACTGTATCTGCAGATCATAGGCATGTGGAACAGCTCAACAACAACCAAGTTGCACCACCCAGCAAACTAACTAAAGCTAAAGTACACACTAGTTCAAGGCACTTTGGTACAGGGGTAGGGGAAAACAGTGGAGGAAAGGTGATGAAGTACAGAAGGACAGATGATGATGGACTGACGGATGTGTGAACTTTTACCAACAGAAAACCTGGAAGACGAGGGTCAAGAAGGAATCTCGCAGGACGACATGTGAGCATACACAGTATAAATGAGAGAAACAAAATGCTTCTCCATCAAATGCACAAGAAAAACAAAGTACACCACTGTCTACTTGGGCATTGTGGATTAGCAAAACTACTACTACCTCACAGATGGCAGATTGGTTGCTTGTCAGGAGAAAGAACGTACTGTACCCACAGGGCCTGTTGCACAACAGCTGCTGCAAAACCTGCCTTATTCACAAGAAGGCAGTGGTGAAGGCACTTGTAAAACAATAGAACATTTGTGACTAAAAGGAAGAAAGGGAAATAAGGTAGGCTTCCCAGTCAATGTATCAGACTGACCTCCAAGAGTACAAACCTACTTGAGGCTAGGAAGAAAATCAAACAATGGTCAGCAATTACCTCTGGCAAGAAAAAACGTGATACCTCTTATTGACACAAAATATTATTCCTTGTGTGGTGCTCTGATGCAGCTTCGACACACAATATGAGTCTGCCACTTTTAACAGGTATCAGGAGTGTGTTAACATAGTCAACCGAAAGCATGGCAAGAGAGAGTGCTTGCCATGCATCCTACTAGTGTAAGTGAAAATTAAAAGGTGTTAAAAGAATGATTTAGAGAATCACTTGTATGTAGCACTGCTGGAACTTATGCTGTCTACTGAAATGTAAGGATGCAAATTAACTGCAGTCCCCGTGGTGTAGTGGTAAGACACTCGCCTGGCGTTCCGCGAGCGCTATGTCATGGGTTCGTATCCTGGCCGGGGAGGATTTACTGGGCGCAATTCCTTAACTGTAGCCTCTGTTTAACGCAACAGTAAAATGTGTACTTGGATGAAAAAACGATTCTTCGCGGCAGGGGATCGTATTCCAGGGACCATAGGATTAAGGACTTGCCCGAAACGCTACGCGTACTAGTGGCTGTACAAGAATGTAACAACTCTTGTATATATCTCAAAAAAAAAAAAAAAAAACTGCCATTATAACTTCTAGGTCATTGATGCCATGGGTAACGAGAGAAAATATGTACAGTAGTCAAATCAGTGGTTAGAATGAAGAGCTGTATAAAGATAGGACTGGTTGAAGGACAATACTGTCACCCTGCTGTTAGTGAAAATAGTGACATATCATGGTGCAGCCTTCATGCTAATTACTATAAATGTGAGATGTACAGTATTATGATTAGGAAAATGTTATTGACTGCATATGTTAGATAATGACATTGTAATTTTGAAAAATGAGGCAAGTGCCTTATTGACTGAAGACTAACTTAGCATGCAGTAAGATACAGTATTCATATTAATTTGGTAGCTATTTTTATTATACAGCAAATTTTAGGTTTATGCTGTACAGTATTTATAATATGTTTTCACTAATGTAACACTCTTCTGCACATAGCTAATATTGGGCCACGGTCAGATCCACGCTCCAGTAGTAAGAAGGGCTATGGCAGCGGCAAACAAACTCTACGCTTCAAAGCTAACGGCCAAGCTGAAGTGGAAGATGCGGTAAGCTGTAGTATCCTTAATTCGTAATAATTTTAAAAGTAAAAGTTTTTTGTATAAATTTGTTACAGTAAGTTTAATATGTAAATATTTGTTTTGCCCTTATTTTAAAACTATTATTTTTGCAGCCGGATGATTTGGCAACATTCGCAACTGAAAAGATTAATTCACTGCTAGAAAATTTCATGGGCATCAATGACAATGATCTAGGTATGTAAAGTGAGACTATTTTATATGGTTTGAAATTCACTATTTATTTAATCTTGAATAGTATTTATAAAGCATTTACTGTATCTACCTATTCTGCATAAACTAAATATGAAGCAGTGACCTGCCAGACACTACAACTCCATTTGTAGTTCACCAAATGAACACCAACAAAATCCTTTCTCGTCCCATTAGGTAGATCAGAAATTATGAAAGGCATCAACACTTTGGAGAGAGTGTTTGCTCTTTCCATCCTCCTGCTCAAAGATCCTTTATCACTATTGTACCATTTTTATCATCTCCAACAACTGGGCTATTGAAGGGAGGTATAATTTAGCACAATTTTCTAAACATACTGAACATACACTACATACTGTCTTTTGTGCTCTTTACACTTGTAAAGCCCTAGACCTCAATACTATGCCCGATTTGAAACTATTCCTAGATAATGTAATAAAACATATGGCTATTACACTAGAAATATCTTTGACAGAACTCTAGTCTGACTAATTCCATGTTTACATGACGTGCAAATAGTGGCCTTATATAGAATGCTAAAATACTGTATGGAACTTCCGTTCTAATGAAGTAAAGAATTGCTCATCTATACTTACTCAAAAGTGAAGCAAACCCATAATTTGCTCAATAGTGGTTCATCCCACTCTCGGTAAATCTACCTGAGGGCCATTCTCTAGTAGCCAGTACAAGGGCCACAATCTCTAGTGGCCAGTAGAATATTGGCATTTACAGCTTTGGAGGGTAGGCAGTGCCATGGGTTTAAAACTGTTGGTGAAAAATCATCATCTGTTATCCATCTTACATTGTGGCTTGTTGAGCTAGAGACTGTTGCCTCCAGTAAGCATTACATTAGATTTTTTAAAAGTGATCTGTGTTAATCTCTTCAATGTGTTCCGTATTTTAAAGGTCTACTCTGCTATATATTAACTGTATAATAATTACTGGTACAGTGGTACTTCTGTTTTCAAATTTAATCCGTTCCCAGAGACAGTTTGTAAATCGAAAATTCGTAAACCGAAACGAATTTTCCGGTAAGAAATAATGTAAATTAAATTAATCCGTTTCACACCCACCAAAACTATTAACTTGAAAATACATTTTATACATACTACTACTACTTACATTTTGTACTACAGTATGTACAAGTATATATTGCCTTTAATGAGGAATCTTGTTGGCGTATGGAAGACGATGAGGACGGAGGAGAGGGGGAGAGGTGTTTGGAAGGGGAGTCCCCTTCCATTATAACAGCAGTGATGATATTTCTGGGGTACTCTCCCTCCTACGTTTTGCAGGCATACCACTAGGACCTTGTTGTGGCTCACTGCTTGCTTGTCTTACTAAGAATCTGTCTAAAGACATTTGTTTTTTCCCTACGTTTTAACGCTTTTCTGTAGTGAGACATCACATTCATTCACTGTGATTATGAATGATCTCTTATTTTTCCTCTATCATCTTCCTCAACTATTGTCTTAGGTTGAACTTTACCACTGATTTTCTTGGAACCCATGTCATGATATATAATAATTATTTTCATATTCAGAAACCAAAAAAGCACAAAAACAATTAAATTCTTCACAAAGAATTCAAGCACGTTCATCACTAGGCGGGAAACACTGATAAACTGAAGCGCACCTCGCCAGTGCCACCAGGAACCACGCACTTGGTTCCTGGTGCCCATACGCATATTGACAAACTCTCCAAGCGAGGCAAAGCTCGTATACCGAGTCGAATTTTACAAAGAAATTGAGCTGGTAAACCGAAAAATTCATAAGTAAGGACCTTCGTCAACTGAGGTTCCACTGTACATTAATGTAAAAATTCCTGCAAATTCTCTCTATACAGGTAACTCAATTACTAGTTTTAAGTACAGTACTGTACTTTGTGTCTTTCTTGTAACTTACAAAACCTTTGATATCTCGGTGTACACCTCAAATAATATTTTAGCTTCATAGTACAGTAAGTATAACAATATCAATAGTATTTATTTATAAACAAGTACAGTAAATACTGTACATTGATTATGCTGTATTACATTTTGTATAAAACTACTAATCAAGCATTACCGTATTCTTAATCTTATTATTGTATTATCTTATTATGCCGTTTTATCTATTATCTAATTATTATTATTATTATTATTATTATTATTATTATTATTATTATTGAGAAAATAGGTAGGAGCCATTATGAGGATTCGAACCTATGCAGTGGGTGTTCCCACACACTGAGAGAAAATAATTTTCTCTGATACATCCCGTTAGTGTGATTACTCACTGTGTAGTATTATTATTATTATTATTATTATTATTATTATTATTATTATTATTATTATTATTATTATTTATTATTATGTTCTAACAAGTGAATAATGTATAAATAATAATAATTAATAATCCTTATTCACATGAATGGGTGTACAGAGAACATAAGAGTAATAATAATTGACTGTGTCGGGGAACAGAAAGCCAGTGTGTTTTCATACACGTTAGGCTTTTACCCTTGATTTGCATTGCATTTCTGCTTTGGTCGAGTCTTAATCTAGGAATATCAGAGATTTGTTTCTAGAGTGGTGACCGTGAGATCTATTACAGCCTTCTGTGAAGCACTTAAGGTCAGGACTGGCATTGCAGTTCAGAGTATTATAGATACAGAGAACACTTGAGAGTATGTGCAGAGACTTGAGATTGAACATGTTCAAAGATTTCAGTAAGGGAGCAGAGTGGTGTCTGGGACTGGAATTTGCGAATGTTCTGATTGCTGATTATTGTTGAGTAATTAGGGGTCGGAGGTAATTAAGGGTGGTGGATCCCCAGGCACAGATACCATAGGTGAGATATGGATAAATGAGTGAATAATAGTAACTAGGGCAGGGCGAGGAACATAGTATCTGACTTCGCAGAGAGTGCCTAGTTTTTTAGAAACCTTTTTCAATAATGTTTTGCATATGTTAATGGAAATTTAGTTTGCTGTCAGTGTGAACTCCAATATTAACATTGTGAACATCATTGTAAATATTATGAATGATAATAATGCCCAACTAGCAATTTTGGCATTATTAATTTTTAGATTAATTTGATTGTTGGACTTGTTACCAAATAAAATGTAAAATGTCTTGTCAATGTTAGGAGAAAATATGTTAGCAGTCAACCACAAATGGACTAAGTGCACTATTCACCATATAGAATAAGTGGGTTAGCATGTGAGAAAATGAAGGAAAAGGAAAGTTGTATTATCAGCAAATAGAATTGACTTCAAATGTTGTGCGATATTTGGAAGACAATTGATATATATGAGAAAGAGGAATGGACCCAGTGTACTACCCTGTAGAATACCAATGTTAGTCGAGTGGGAAAAGTAGCACCATTCACTGAAACACACTGCTGACTGTCACCGAGGTAAGATTGCAAGTGCTGAAGGAAGTGACCTCTGACTCCATAGTGTTGGAGCTTGAGAAGGTGGTTATTGTGGTTAAGTGTCAAAAACCATCAAGTAGGTTAACAAACTGACCTTTGGGGGGGTAGTCATTTTTGTCGAGCTGCACATATTAGGTTAAGCAGTTATAAGAGCATCATTGGTGATTTTACGTGGCCTGAAGCCATATTGGTTTGAACCGAGTATTTTGTGCTTATTTGTATAATGTATTTGTTATATAATGTATATACAGTATTTGTATAATGTGAAGGTTAAAGCATCTTGCAGTGTGTGTTTCACCTAAATATTGTAAATACACTTTTTTTCTTTATAAAGATTAATTATAAAATTAGTAACCAAATATTCATAAAGTATCAATTTTTTTATTGCAGCTGCTCAGATTTGGGAACTGGGGCAGCAGAAGCAGAACACGATGGAATTTGCCGAAGCTGTGGATGATTCTGACTTGGAAACATTTGGATTCACTGATGATTTTATTTTTGAGCTTTGGGGAGCAATTACTGATGCCAAGGCTGGTAGACTGAAGAAGTAGTTCGTGATGACCGATAATGAATTGTGACAGTTGTTAAAGAGAATAATTAACAGCAACCAAGAAGAGGATTTTAAATTAGGTGATTTCCCTATTTTTGTTCTGCACTGATAATAAGCCCTAAAGTATATTTATTTGTATATTCGGTAACAAAAATCCTATGATAAAGCGTTCTAGTAATAAAATACTTACTGTTTGCAGCGTGAAAATAATGCAGTGAGGAAAATGCCATGTGTTTTAAGGAAACAAAACACATGTTCATTTTTTGTTAAGGATATCAAAACTTATTTTATCAAAGTTATCTTACAAAGAAAAAAATATGACCAAAAGTATGAGAGTGGGTGATATTTGCTTGTGGCTTCTGGGAAGTTAATTCAGTGTGGAAGTATTTTCAAGATAACTATTATCATAGATGGTATGAAAGTGTCTTGTGTGCATTCTGTGTTTTGTGCGAGAAGAAAGAAACGCATTGAACCTTCACATATTATAGTAAAATGTCCACCATGATGGCCTTTAAAACAGTACGTCAAGTTTGTGTACCACCACTTTTTGTATAGAATTTTGTAAGAGATCTGTCTTGGTATCTGTACACAAATTAATCTCCCTAAAAAAAAGTGGTAAATGGCCATGAGTGAGATTTGTGCATGTCTTGTTTGTGGTTGTCAGTTGATGCTCTCATGCCTTATGATTACAGGACAGTATAGAACGTTATGATATTGTATGTATTAGAACACACAAACAATAGCAGCTTCATTAAATATTCACAGCAAATTTGAGTCTTCCCAAAATCTAACATAATGTTCTAGAGATTGTTCTCTAGGTGGTGATTTTTGTTGTGAACAAAATTTATATGTATGTATGCAACCCGTTCTCGCACTTTCGTACAGTCAATATTGACTTTTTAAATACTTGCATATGTAGCATACTAAACATACTAGTTTACCTTGAAAAGCTTCATAGAAAACACCGACCTTACCTAACCTTCTTAGTATGTTAAGATAAGCATCTTATTGCTTCGTAATTACAATTATTACTTAACCTATTATAGGTATAGGTTAAGTAATAATTGTAATTACGAAGCAATAAGATGCTTATCTTAACATACCAAGAAGGTTAGGTAAGGTCGGTGTTTTCTATGAAGCTTTTCAAGGTAAACTAGTATGTTTAGTATGTCACATATGCACGTATTTAATAAGTCAATATTGCAGTAAGAAAGTGCGAGAACAGGTTGCAACATGAGCATTACCACACACATCATAATTTATATAAATAGATTAATATTTTAAAATACAACATCCTATTCTTATCTAAAGTGTAGATTAGCATGGTGATTTAAATTGACATTGCAATAATTTTATTTTTAATCAAGGAAATGCTGATATTATACTGTGTAATGAAGATACGAAGGACTGCATTTGAGCTTCCCATGTGCCCAAGATCAAAGTTAGTATTTTTCAAACTCAGAGTATAATAAATAAATTGTCTACTTTGAATAAAAGTCTGTCATAATTTTGAAATGACTTTGACAAACTATAAATTTTAATAAGTATTATTATTGTATGTGTCTTTATTTAATATAGAAAACTTTGTATGCAATATTTGGAAATACTGTAAGAAAAAATTTGTTCCTGGTTATTGCAAAAATATGAGAAAGTGAATGAGATGTTTTAAGTATGGTACTCTCTTCAGAAAATTTCCTATTGTCACAGATAGAAAACCTGTTAGGCATATGAAGGTTTTCCTAGGGTAACAACTTTTTCCAGAATGCATCCTACGACAGTTCCTTAACCCTCCCCCTGGTACCTATTTACTGCTCGGCTAACAGAGACATCAGGTGAAAGGAAATGTGCCCAAACATGTCTGTCCTCCTGTCCTGTCACGGGAATCAAACCCAGGACCTCATGGTTGTGGACCGACTGCACCGACCATTGCGCAGTCACACAACATTGAGTCAACAGTATGTATATGCAATTTAACAAGCTCATTCTCTTAGTACAAGTTTTAACATTCAACATGAATGATTATTTATGCCCTGTAAGGAGATATATCATGCCACACTTATACTTCAGGAGTTAGTGAATTTAGTTCATTTATTATGCACCCCATACCCATCCTGTGGACAGTAGTGGAAAGGGTTACAGAGGCACATAATGGGCTCAGGGACTGAACCCCACAGTTCATTTAGCTAAGCAAGTTACAATTTTGATGAACTAGTTACAAAATTCAATGCACATTGTCACATCAACAATGGGCTCGAGACCGACCACAAGTACAGTTTCTAAAGTACTTAAAGAGTAAATTTGATTTGTTAATTTACAAAGCTATCTCTCGCTGGCACATGATGAGTTGAATTGGCCAGGCAGCTGGATTTATCTTGGCATATACCATAAATATATCAGATTGCAGTCTTGTTCACAGAAAATAAGATACATTTACTTGTATCTTTGTCAACTGGACAATTAGTTTTCTATACTTTTGAATCCTAATTTGGATTCGTTTATCAAGCAACCAATTGCAAACAAATGCATTTTCAGAATGTTCCTAGGAATATTATGATTTGCAAGATACCATGATGACATTGCAATGATAATTATAAAGTGCTTGAACATTCATGTCATTGTTTAAAAATGATTTGCAGGTTGTTTCATAGGTAAGGTATTATGTATTTATGTAACTCAATGAGCATTTCCCTGTACAGTTAATATAATGAGCTTTGTGTATATGTGTGCATTTAATATCCCCAAACATATAATTAACTTATTGCACCAGTGTTATAATGGATAATCAGTTTACATTAGCATATTATTCCTCATCAACCATTGTGTGTTCTCACAGAGCATTAGTGGTGCACTCAAAGGCTAAGTATCCAATTTCCACCTCTCTCACTCGCCAACAATTTAAAATTGCAATTAAGTATTTTTAATAAAAGTTTAGATCATGGGGAAAGTATGATAATTTATAAAATGTATGCTAACATCAGTTTGCTTGTATAGTACAGTATTGAAATGTTAATGTCTGTGTGTTTAAGACATCAAAGAAAGTTGCTTTCAGTACACTGTATAGAAATAATAGCTTTGATTTATATGCCTCACCCAATCCTCATGTCATTCCATCCTTGCCTACATAGAGGGTCCCACTTCCAAAGTTTTGCAAAACCTTGATCCACATGGCAAAGGCTTCTGCCCCTCCTACAGTTTTGAAACATCTTTTCCTTGCACGCTTTCCTTCACACTTTAACTCCATTCCTGTCTTCAAAGATGGATCTAAGTCTGCCAACGGAAAAACTGTTGTTTTTTTCCTGACCACCTCTATGTGCCGCCTGCCCCCAGAGACTAGCATCTTCACGGCAGAAAACTCTGCTATTTTGTATGCTTTCTCACTGTCAGCATCCCTGTGTCGTTGTAGTGTAGTTGACTCTCACAATGCCCTCATGGTTCTGGAGTCAATTAATCCTATCCATCCTGTGGTAGTTGAAATTCAACATTGGTTGTTTCTTATCTCTAGCAGATTTAAGACTTGAGTTTTGCTGATTTCCAATCATATTGGCATTTCCTTAAATGGGCATGCAGATGCTGCTGCTGCTGAGGCTATCTGCACTTGTCCTATTTCCTGCAAAGGCATTCCTTATTCAACTTCTACCCAGTCAATCATTTCTCAATCCGTGCCCGTTGGCAGGGTCATTGGTCTCTTGTTACTGGTAACACTGCATGCTCTTAAGTGTTGCCTGTCCCTTTGGCCTTCCTCCTGTGAAAACCTGCGGATGAAAAGCACCTCTTGTTCTCAGTTCTACATTGTGGCTTTGTCAAGGTTACCTTGAGGTTACCTTGAGGTGCTTCCGGGGCTTAGCGTCCCCGCGGCCTGGTCGTCGACCAGGCCTCCTGGTCGACGCTTGAAGCTGCTTAAAACTGTTGCTCTGTGTTACATTTGACATTTTGAAGAAAATGTCTGGATCAACATCCTTCAACTTGTTTAGTAGTTTAAAAGTTTCAATAAGATCTACCCTGTCATATCTGGTTTTCAGTGTTGTTAGCCCTGTGGCCATCAACCATTCCTGATATGAGAGATGACTTGGCTCTGGAATTATTTTTGTTGCCCACTGTTGCACTTTCTCCAGAGCAGCTATGTCCTGAAGATGAGGTCTCCATGCTTGGATACAGGAATTCGAATGAGGGTGCACCAGAGATTTATACAGTTGAATTATTACCAATTTTTAATTTTCCTTATAGTCAAAAGTACACTTGATTATTCCAAGGGTTTTGATAGTTTTTCTGACTGCTGCACCCACCTGTTGTGCAACTTTTAGTGTGTGGTGGATTTTGACCCCAAGGTCCTTTTCTTCATCAATCTGCTGTAATGTAATGCATTTAATTTGGTAGTTGTCGCATGGGTTGTTATTCCCCACATGCAACGTCTTGCATTTGTCGATGTTGAAAAGCATTTGCCATTCTTTGTAAGGTTTCAATATCATCATTATTTCCCACTTTACCATAAATGTGTGTCATCATACATAAGACTTCAAGGGTTACTACACTCCACCTCTTACATTAGCTGTTGTTTAAAATTCTTATGAGAACATTTCAACTTAGGTTTGCTCCTACTCTGAGAACCCTTCATTGACACATTTCTTTATTTTGAATCAATATGGTGAGAAAATGTTCAATGTTTTCAACAAAATATAAAAAATGTGATGGAAAAACAATCCATAACCTTGGTGGCATTCATGCTGGTGAGAATTTTGATATACTTTAAGCTCCATGTCTCATGGTTGTGAGCACTTTTGGCATTTGGGTAACTGGAGGTCATGGCTGCTGATGTATGGTTGCATAGCGTGAGGGGGGGGAGGGGAAGAGAGGGAAGGGATCCATCGGGAGAAAGTGACAGTCATTGTGACTACATAGCACTTGAAAGGGATCAGGATGAAGATTTTGGGATGGGTAAGGTAAAAGGAATGGTGCCCAGCCACTTGTACAGTCGGGGATTGAACACCGCTCTGCATAAAGTGAGACAGTCACTCTATCATCCAGTCAAAGTGGTTGGATGGAGAGAGAGGGAGTGGGGCTAGAAAATAAGGTGTATATAGGCCCACACAAGCAAGAGAGCTTGGCAGAAAACAAGAGCAAGAGCTTAATGCCATTACTAGAAATAGTGCAATTGCATCACACTTCTCAGCTCGCCACAACTCGAGTATAATAACTATAGTTTGGATGAAGCTGGAGAAGGTTCAGAGGTATGTCACTAGGTTACCGTAGTTCCAGTACTAAGTGGTGTGAGTTGCAAGGGAAGGCTACATCAATTGCACCTCACATCGATGGAAGACAGAATGGTTCGGGGAGACATGATTATCACATAGCGTACTGTATAAAATTCTCAGGAATTGACGGGGGTTGATAAAGAAAAAATGTTTAACAAGGGTGGTTCTCGCTCTGGAAACACCAGTGGAAGCCGATTACCTAAATGGTCCACAGAGGCATTAAAAAGACCTTTTTCAGTGTCAGAGTTGTTAATAAATGGAATGCATTAGGAAGTGATGTGGTGGAGGCAGACTCCATGCAGTTTCAAAGGTTGATGTGATAGAACCCAATAACCTCAAAGTGTACACCAATTAATTGACAGTTGAGAGGCAGGACCAAAAAACCAAAGCTTAACCTCCAGAAGTACAATTAGGTGAGTACTTAGAATTTTGTGCTTGTTTTTCTTAATTAAATTCCCTAAGTATTCTATATGTATTTATGAGGATGACTCAT